GTTTAGAATGTTTCAAGAAATAAGGTTATGAAACCACAGAACACCGATGAAAAATGAATCATTATTAATTCCAGGTGCTAAATATAAAGAAGATAAATTATAATAATTGGTAGAAATTTATAATTTACATAATTTTACTTCTATTATTTGTTCCTTCTTTTTTTTGTCCTGATTATCATTGAAATTAGAAGAGTTCATCTGGAGAGATTTCTTCGTCAGCCGAGAAAAACAATAAAGGAATAACACGAGCTTTGCAGAGTACCTGCTCTATCGTAAACTGAGAAATATAACAAGAAAAGATATACATTTCTTTAAGCTCCTTTTATCGGAGGAGCTGAATGGACCGTATAATTTACTGACTGATGAAATGAATGTGCTTATCTTATCTTTTAGTGGTTATTTCTAAATGCACTGTATGAATATTTTTTACAATTGAGCCATGTAATGAGACCTATATATATTCAGAGTCAGCGTAATATCAGTAATAATTTCTGCTAAATATTATGCTGACTCTTTTTAGAAAAATGGATAGATGACGCTCTGTGCTAATTATCTCTGACAGAGGCAGAATGTTATACTACAAAAGTGTATAAACATTTTTTTAATTATTCAAAAACTCTTAGATTTGAATCAAGATGTTGGACACATGTGTTTGTAAGTGCACTTAAGTCGTCTGTATTAGCCACATCAATTATTTTGATTTATTTTTCGAGTTTGGTTATTTATATTAAAGATGACATCAGTTAATGACACTAAAAAAGAAATAGAGAAAATTAAAATGGTCGCAAGAAATATATTATATAATAATATTGTAAGATATGTCTAATTTTTCTATGCAATTATTTTTTTAATAGACTCATTTATAAAAATGATTTCAACAAGTGCATCAGTAGATTCTTTTTTAGAAATGATGTAGTGAATCATTGACATCAGCTAGTAGATCAATAGTCGTCATGTGTCTTTCTCTGTTATTAGTTTATTTTAAAAACGAGAAATGAATAGAAAAACTGATATATACTCTATGTAGATAAGTTGATAATAATAAAGAAAGTAATGGAAGAATGAAAGAAAGAAATAAGAACCAATGTAGATAGTGAACAATTACACGCAACATTGCATTCTATAATAGAATCCTATAACAATTGATGATTAAACTTAATTTGAATAAAAAATAAGCGTCGTCACTATGATCATTGCTCATTTTCTTTCAGTATTTCTTTATTATAAAACTATTAAAGTATAGTTTTTACTGAACTCACTTCATTATCGTTACATGTGTGTATACTATACCCAGTGAAAAGTATTTATCAAAAAAAAAACGTTCTACATAAAAAGTCGAATGCGTTTCGAAATGGAACGGTCAAGGATGCGTTCTCACCCTTAAGAACCGTTTTCTTTTCTTAAAAAAAGGGCCTTCACGTTCGCGGAACGTGTTCTTGACCATTGTAGTTTTAAATGATGAAAAGCGCACTCCAAAATCAGCTTTTCCTATGAGAATCCCCGAGGAGTTCTAAATGCTTGACAAAACTTCCAAGGAACACTTGAAAACCTAGGCAAAAAACGAGAAATCTTTGTAGATTTCCTAGGATCTACGAAGCTCCAGGCCTTAGACAATTTACAACGATTTCTCGTTTTTTTTTGTCTAGCTTTTCATGTGTTCCTTGGAGATTTTGTCAAGCATTTAGAACTCCTCGGGGATTCTCATAGGAAAAACTGATCTGAGTTGCATATTTCAACGAAAGAATGTGAGAAAGGATTTATTAGATTTCTATACCCATACAGAAACCCTTAAAAGATAAACCGGGACACTGCTCAATCTACCAATAAAATTTATATACCTTATCTAAGAAGCATATCCTTATCTAAAACAATTTCAACAGAGAAAATATTTCTCTATCTACTCAATCGGAAATCATGGGTCACTCTCTATAATTAAACTCCACGGAATAAGACTGACTGTTTCTATTAAGATGGAATAAAAACTAGAGGAAAACTATCTCTAATTCTACTAGATGGAAAAATGATTGTTTTTAATAAGATGGAATGAAAATTAAGAAAAACTAACTTTAATTCTAGTAGATGAAAAAAATGATTATTTTCATTGGAATGAAATAAAATTAAAGAAAAACTAACTCTAACCATACTAGATGAAAGAAATGATTTTTCTGATTAAAATCAAATAAAACTAAAGAAACACTAACTTTATCTCTATGGAATGAAAAAAAAATGACTATTTGTATTAAGATCGAATAAAACTATAGATAAACTAACTCTATCTCTACTAGATAAAATAAATGACTACTTCTATTACAAAAGATTAAAAGCAAAAGAAAACTAATGACAAAGTATACTAATTCGCCAATCATTTTATTTAGTTTTATTCAAAAACAATAGTGAATCTTTTTTACCTATACACAAGGTAATTATCAACACAAAATGATAGAAAGTGAAAAATATGTACAAAATTGTTCTTTTTTGTTTTTTTTTATTCTGTTCTGACTATTGATAAACATTGCAATGAAAGGAGGAGATAATATTTCGATCGCACTGCAATGTTTATCAATAGTCAGGAAAGAATAGAACAATTTTGTACATATTTTTCATTTTCTATCATTTTATGTTGATAATTACCTAGTGTATAGGTCAAAAGGTTCACTATTGTTTTTGAATAAAACTAAATAAAATCATTGACGAATTAATATACTTTACCATTAGTTTATTTTCTTATATCTCGTCGAATAATATAAATAAAGGAAAACTAACTCTAACTGTATTAAATGAAAAAATGACTATTACTGTTAACGTTGCAGAAAATTAGAAGAACACTAACGCGATGTCTATTGGATGGAAAACATGTCTATTTCTCTTAAGATGAAAAAAGATTAAAGAAAAACTAACTCTATTTCTACTAAGATGAAATAAAACTAAAGAAACACTAATTTATCTCTATCCAATGAAAAAAATGATTATTTTTGTTAAGATTGAATAAAACTAAAGGAATTCTTAAAAAAAAAATGATTTTTTTGATTAATATCTAAAATAACCGAAAGGATACTAATTCTCTCTTTACTACTTAGATAAAAGAAATGATTGTTTCTATTAAGATGTAATGAAACTCAATGGGCAATACAATACAAATTGTGAGAAAAGCTTGTTAAGTTCATCAAAAGAAGAATTGTTGTATACTCGTTGGCCGAATGACTCTGAATTTTTCTAGAATCCTTCTTATGGTTGCATATTGCTTGTGTCTATTTTTATTATTTTTGTCAATGTATTGTAAATAAGACTGTCATAATATCGACAGCTAAATGCTTAACATTGATAACAGATGTTGATCAGAAAACAATGAGAAAAAAATTTAATATATTTGAGAACACTGACGAATCCATTTGGAGCTAATCAATATTCTTTCTCAATATAACGGGATAATTTCATGTAGGTTATAAAACGAATGAGAAGGTGTTCTGTATTTTTAAAACTGATTTTTGAATTCACGAGAAAATATTCGACAATTAGAAGAACGATAGAGAACGCCTTCTTTTCTTCCTAAGAATGGTATTAGATTGTCTGGAACGCGTTCATCAGTTCAAAGAATCCATTCTCAAGTATTTCTTGAGAGAAAATCAAAGAAAGCATTCTCATTTTTATGGAATCCGTTCCTGACCGTGCCAAAAATGAACGTTTCAGAAAGCTTTCTCTTCAGATGAAGAACGATTTTGAACCGTAAAAGAAATCATCCCATAAAAAAAGTGGAACGACAAAGAATGTGTTTCTTCAGACCAGGGACGGCGCGACTGGGGGCGGGAGGATGGGGGATTACCCCTCCCCCTCTGCTCTAGAAAATTTTAGCTGAGACTTTCTCCGAATTTGGAAGTTTTAGGGATCAATTTTCTCCGAATTTGGGAAATTTACTAAGCAACTTTCTCCGATTTTGGAAAAATATGCTTGACAATTTTCTCTAAAGTAGAAGAAAATCCTATTTTGAAGAACACTTTTAAGCACTTTTCTCTGATTTTGAAGAAATATATTATAAAAATTTTTCAAAAACTGGAGAAAACTGTTTAATAACTTTCTCCAAAATTGGATTTTCTCCGATTTTGGAGAAAGTTGATCAAAATATTTCTCGGAAATCATAGAAAATTGCCTAAAAACGTTCTCCAAACTTGAATTTTGTTCGAACTTATAGAAAATTGTTTAATGTATTACTGTGAAAGCA